GTAATAAAGTAAATAATTTACCTGACTCTGTAACAGCGAAGGATTGCGCACTGCCAGCCGCGACATCGATACATTTAAAGGAACTTAAACTAGGAACTGGTGTTAATTTCTCTGCATCTGAACAATTAGATCCAAGCCCTAGACGGCCGTATTCCTTACGACCCATCACGTATACTTTACCAGCATCATCTAAAGCGATAGTATGATGTTGGCCACTACTAATATGCCTCCAGTTATTTCCGCTGAATGTTTCTGAGATTTGTGGATGAAAGCGAGGCAGAGGATCCGATAATCCTGCAATGGTTGCGCAATGTTTAAATATTATCCTATAAAAATCACTTGGTATCATTATCTATTTTAAACTTACCGATTTGATGATAATTATTTAATCCAAACACGTACACTTCTTGCGTGTGATACGCCTTAACGAATGTACAATAGGTGCCCGCCCAAATATCATCAAATCTTAGTTTCTTAGTAATTTTAAATTCCACTAAACCCGGGGTTAACAGGGGACTCATGCCGTGGCGAGTATGTCTGCTAGCTGCTCTGGAAGCTACCCGTCCTAGCTGTCCTTGTTCTGCACATCCACACGTATATACGAATCCATTTTCATTAAGCAGAACTAGATGATCTGCACCTGATGCTATTTTAACTATCTTTACATCTGGCAATAGCTCTATTGGAAACCGCTCGTTTCCATTTAAAGTCAGTCCCATGTTGCCATGAGAATCCTAAAAAAGAAATATTTGCAATGTCTTTACTATTTGTCTCTTTGCTGTTCGAGACAACGAAGTTAATATATTGTATCTTAGAAATAAAGTATACAAAAAAGGCATTATCTTCTATCTTTGTCGGAATGTATATCACGAAAATTCTGTTCCTGTGCAAGTCAACAAAATTCTCACAATTTAAAACAGATATTAATAACAGATTTCATGTAAAATTTATGATTTGTTTTTCTTGAACAACATTCTCTAATAAGTTCTGTTTGAAATGTGTATGTGCAATACTGTAATAAAAGGGAAATATGTACCCTGAAGGAACCCCATGCAAAAACTTGTCCATTTTCCAATAATGCAGCGCTGTGAGAGTCACCAGCAGTTACTTGTATAACTTTATCAGGCAATGTAACAAGACCTGGGTTCGATTCAGGGACTTTAGACGTGTCACGTCCCAATGCCCCTTCGTCATTACATCCAAATGTTATCACTTCTCCAGTTTTCCTCAGGCAGACATTGTGCATACCACCAGCAGCCACAGCTATGATATCTTGATACCCAGGGATAATTGCTGGACGTGTTTTCTCAACAACATCTTCGCCCAGCCCAAGTTGGCCTACATCGCCTTGTCCAAATACCAGCAACACACCGCCTGTTTTTGATTGTCGTAAATTAGGTGCGACGACCAAATCTGTGAAATAACATACAAGTATTTAACCGTTTCTTGGTTTACAAAAGGAGCGATTGCATACAAGCCGATCGAGGCGATCGGTCCGAGAATCGCGACACTGTAATAAAATAGTTAATTCTGATGATTTCTTGAAGGTATTTTCGGAGATACTGAGCATTTTCTCGACTACCTGCTGAAGGGTAGCAATAATTATCGACCGCTAAAAACACGTCCATGTGCCCGAACAATGTTCCATGCTTTTGATCGCGAATGCTATCATGCGGACACGTTTCTTGGCGCGAAAAATAGTAATAACTGTGATAAAACTTTATCGGTTGTCACCGAAATGATAAGGCTTACCTTCTTTCTTCTTGAGCTTCTTTGCTTCCTGGTGATCTTTCACAGGAGCCTGAGATGCTCGTTTTGCTGCTTTCCTTGGCGGCACTAGAAGCATACCAAGGTTATGTTTACAACAGCGCGCGTAAATTTAGTTTTTATGACTGTCATGTATAATCAAACAAACAGTTTTAGAGTCACTATTTATATACGTACTAATTTTGATAGGCAATTGTTTTAGAATCGGGATGTACAGCGCCTTTCACCCAGTTTGGCGCCAAAAAGCCTGCTGACCTCGCGTCTGTTGCGCAACTCACGAGTTCACGACTCACACTCACACGGGAGACGCAGAGGCGCTTCGTCTTCGTCGTCGTAGTAAGATTTCGAACTACACATGCATACCTCATTTCCGACATGTAGTGAATAACGGAAATTCTTATGCCCCTTTTTTTTCTCGTCTGGATGGTTACCACCACGTTGCACCACGTGCTCGTACTTATGCATAATAATATCGTTTCGATCCGGTTTGCTTGAATTTGATAAACCCTTCGAATTCCAACGAACATATCCAATTTCAAGAATGAAATAATGGAGAAATAAGAAATATTAATCTTATTTGGTATTAGTAACTTAATGAAAACAATTATTCCCTGTATATTGATGATATAAAGAACGGCAGATTATTTGTTTTATTATTACAGTAAATTAGCAACGTTAACTATTAGAAAAACATGTTTATATTCTCTTTCAACTTCCTCGATCAGTTTTAGCGCTCGTATGTAAGTTACATATGGATGCATTTTTATTTTTTATTTGTTTGATCCGGTATATATTTCAGCGATTTTGGAATGATGAAATGACTGCATTAAAAAAAGTTATAATTTCTTCTATGTTGCATCTTATATTATTCAATAACGTACTAAATAAAAATTGAGATATATGTAAGAGGAATACTAACGTGTACTTACTGTGTTAATTGTAGACTCCTAAATTTCTACTGATAGTAATTAAGTTGTGACGTATTGCTTTCTTAAACTACGAATGATAATATATTTAAAGAAATCGTGAGGTAAGTCCTAACTCGTTTTCTTTGCGAATTGATAACAGCGCAATATAGGCACGTTAATAAAACAGCAGTACCATTCCTGGAATTTTTCAATTCCGTAAAGTGACTTATATGACTATAATTTTACTGTTTCAATTAATGCTTATACGTATTTTAGTTAGTTAATGATCTCAACCATTTTTTAATGTCAGTACTTATTTGTTTTTACTAATTTTACTGCAGTTACTTGAGTTACTTACTGATTTTCATGCACATCACTAGCATCATGAATTTTGAAACTGGATTACTCGAAAGAAAAAACAAAATGCTAATTAATATTATGACGTATTAATTATATTATTAATTGTAAGACAAATTATAAATGTTAAATTAAAATTATGTTTTGGGATATTCACCTTCAGTGCGTCTTTATAATCCTATTTTTGTTTAATCCTGTACATATGAAGGTGCAATGCATATTATTTGATTATTATGAAAGGAAATTATGTACGCTTTAGAGAGGACTGTGAAACATTAACATAGTATTTAGAGGATGTTGGCGAAACGAAACAATCGGTGAATAACTGTTAGTAATATGCAAATTTGTAACAACAATACTCATCAACGATTCTATTATTGTATAATGCTCTGAATTTGCTTGGGTTGAGCGTGTTTCTCGAAAGCATGCCACGCGATTCGAGTTATTTACGCAATAAATTCGCTGTTCATTTTAACGAGAGTGGCTGCGACTCGCGTTAAATCGTGAATTAGTAAGTAAAGGTCGTGAAGGGGTTCGTTGCCTTTTTGGACGAAGATATTCTCGCGGAAAGAGTCGACGCGACGAAACTGCAGAGCGGAAAGCGGGAAAGAGACAGAGGTAGGGGAGGTTGGCCGGTTATCAGAGGGGTCAGATACGTTGGCGCGCGCCAGTCGAAGCCGAGACTTCATCCGCGCAACTTCTCGTCCTTTGTCTATCGCACAACCTTCAACACGTTTCGGACGTGTTCTCCGGTACCGCGGTTTCAATCGCGCTTGGAACGTTCACGCGACACGTACCGCTTTTATTTTATTAAGAACAGTTAAGAAAAGCGCGTTGCGTATTAGTTCCCACTCGACCTCGATTACAACTGACGAATCAAAGAATTTTTTTAAACTACAAATTTGTGTTTACCTGCGGACGTTCTATCTCTGTAATCAAGATCGTTTCGTGTAAGCAGTTCATGTAGAAAAATTAAGAGGCGATGACGAGGGTTCGACGATACAGATTTCTGCCACTCATCGTGCATGTCCTGCTTGGGGGTAAGTTCGGTTTCATACGTAAACACGCGATGATTATCGCACGTGCCAACATTTCGCGCGTTATGAGATAGTTTATAAGGAGTATTGGCAAGTATCTGTACATTTATTACATTTAAATGCTTATAATTTAACATATTACGATACATAATACTATTTTATGTATAAGAGTACGTTGTATCTATCAGAAAAATATGTTGAAACTTCATCTATTAATTCAATTTTAAAGTGAGTGTCAGTGTACGAAGATTTTTAATACGTCTATTAATTACACTACTTTTATCGATATAATGTATACGGAAAAGTTTTGTTTACGTTCACACATAAAACAAAGTTTCATGTATTGTTCCAAAGGAGTTGGAAGTTGGTTTCATCTTATACACGTATATGTCTTTTGTTACGTATTATATTGTAATATCGAATTTAGTATTGCAAAAAGTTGTAATATAACTTTAAAATTGCCAATAAATGATATCGAAATTCTATTAGACTAAAATATGTCCTATTAGATTGTGTGCATGAATGCAATTCTCTTTCGATGCACGTTGACCGTACGGCTCGATGTTTCGTCATGCGAAATTTAAATCCTATCAGTAGAGTAATATCCTTTGTTAGAGTTATATTTGGGAACTAGGCTTAATAAAATCGAACCGTCGCAGACTATAAAAACGTGGCGTAAAGTTGACTCGCATTTCTTTCAATCAGGCTAAGTGGTTTCATGGATGGGAGAAGGAGTCTTGTATGTACTTTTAGAAAATAGAATACCATTGTCGGACGTAGCATTGAACAGTGAAGAAAGCGGAGACTCGACGACGTATTTTTCCCGTTCTTATATTTTCCAAGTTCATATTTGAGCATCCGTATCTCTCTCGCTTTCATAGCGGATCAAAGATTGTTTTTGTGGTTCTAATTCCTTGATTCGTGATATTTTTCCATTCCGCGCGGTTGGTTTCATGTTTACATTGCGTTAGATTGCAAGCTTACGGGTTAATGTATTGTTTGGCTGAATTCGTTAAGTAATGCCTTTTCCGACATTTATCGTTAGTTAAATCACGACTTTCCAATAAAATTATATAACTGAACTATATAGTTTCACAATCTCTACTTTTTCTCTTTTTTTAATTAATTTATCTTCCGAAGATATTATTTACTCATCCAGTTATTGAGAGGAAATCTTGTTTCAGGGTAGAGGAGGAAGGAAACATTTTGTTTCAGGGTAGAGGAGAATGAATACGTCATAACAAATATGAATAGGCAGTATGGATATATTAAAATCAAGGACTTAATTAATATTGAGGATGTGCTTCGCGGCTTATGATTGCATAACTCGTTGGAGAACTTGTCAGGCCATAGAAAGAGAGATTGCACGTCTATTTAAAAAGAATAAAAGTAAAGCGGGAAGGGAACGACTTTAGGGAAGATAGAATAAAGAAAGATGTAACTAGAAGGAATAGTGATCAGATATTCTCACCTCGAGGACTCGCTGAATATGCATGAAACAATCGCATATCTCATGCAATTAGCCGAGAGGCGAATCTTTATTCTTCCTCCATTTTCTTTCCCCTCGCTTTTTTCAAACTTAACCCGGGTCTGTCTCGTTTTCTTCCGTCCGAGGAAGTAGTAGGGAAACTCGTAGCTCTAATCAGAGCGGATTTGTTATTTCCGCGGCTGACCCGACGGGCTCGGCGCCGTTGATGCAAATTGTATTTTGAATCCCATTGAAAACCGAACCTCGGTTCCTCCTTTGATAAACTTCTGTTATATATTGTTTTCTATCTATTCTATTCGTTTTATAATTCCATTTCATTTTGGACATTTCTCTTTTTCTACTTGTTGAATTAAGGTAGATATTTTATCTAAAAATATTACTATTTTATTTTCTTATGCCTTTCTTTTTTTATAAAATTTAATGATAAACATGAGAAATTGAATAATAAGCATAAGGAGAAAGGAGAAAATGTAGTTTTCAATGAATGAATCTTCATATTTCTAAGATCAGAATTATACAGTAAGACGTGAGGAGACAAAAGAGTAGTACATTCAGTGTTGGTTTTTATTTCATAGGTCAGGAAAATATCATTTTGTATGTATGTGCATGAAAATGTTAATGCGTGTACATACATATATACATAAAAATTGTACCAAATGTGGTTGATACCGTCGTGTGGTTGTGTCAACCGATATTCTATTTGCAGGCGGAATACATTCCGTTAGAAAAATCTCGAGTTTCGCCTTTAAACATTAACGAGTTTGAATCATGTCCCAGTAGCTTTCGTTCTTGCCGAAATCGGTGGAAAGACAGAAATGGAGGGAGATGCAGTGTGGTCGCAGTGTGAAAATATGTCCCGTTGACTCGGCAAACATTTTGTTCGCCGTTCTTGGACGATATACCTCACTTTGCCACGAATCCCGAACGGTTTTGCGTTTTCCCGAGGATCCTATTTCTTTCTTTTCTCTTTTTCGGTGAAAAAAAGCGGTCTTCCCGTTCGGTAAAAGAGCCACTTCGGTGACTAGCAAGCCCCGATGTGTTTTCAGAAAACATCCACCGCGATCACGTGCACATCCCGAGCGCGCGTATACCTATATTTCTACGTTTACCTGTTCGATTGAACCGAAGTTATTCTTGCGCTCAGTTGCTGGCCTTAACGAATGTTTTCTCATAATTCGATGGGCTTTCCGACTGAGAAATTTTTAACGTTGATAACCTTATCGATCACGAAGGAAAATACCGTTTGGAATCAAGTAATACCAATATTTGAATGGCTATCGATCAGAATTGAGGTAGGCAAAAATTTATTCGATATACTAATGCTCAAACGAACTGAAATATCCTACTACTGTATTCTATTTATTTAATTTTTGTTATTGATATGATATACACGGTACAATGAAAATCACCGTGAATACTACAAATCTCTTTTTTCTTTTAATTTTCTTTGTAATCAAATTTTAATTTTCTCGGTTCATTACAAATTTTATCCAGTCATACTGCTCAACTAAAGAGATTTATAATTTACACCGAAATGAGACTCGCTGTAAAAATTTGCAAGTCTATTTTCAAGTTATGATAATTTCAAATGCACTACGCGATTTCGGGATACGATGCACGAATGTTTGAGAAGAAGAAAGGAGGAGGATAGGGATTTGATTGCATTCGAATGATTTGTTGCTAGTTTCGTTTTTCATTGAAAAGCTCCAGTGGGTGCGAACCCGGTTAAACGAGTAGACTATTCGGCTACACAGGTGAAAAGTCAAAGTAGCCTTTGTGGGCGGATGATCCCGTTAACGAGCATTAATTCTCTCGTACGGGAGGAGGAAATATGGGTCAAAAGTTAACGGTAAAGCCGCGGATCGGGACGGAAGGACCGCAAAGCGAAGTTTAGGCACCGGGTTCTGAACAAGGCTTTAATCTGTTCCAAGTCCAGTTTCGAGGGTGAGGTGGTGAATCTGCTTTAGCGCCTGGCTCCCTTTGAATCGAGATGGAAACGCGTTTCACGTCGAGATTATTAGTTCTTTCTTCTCTTCTGCGTTTCCATTTTGCTACTGCGGAATTCTGTTCTGAAATATTTCGTTTTAACTGCGGTTGATGTTTAACAGACGTCCAACATGTTTAACAATACGTTTTGACACGAATGAGAATCGCGATGTTCTTTTTTCTTCTTTTTACTCGCGCGACGACAAATCCCCTCATTATTCGAAGATCACGTTGAAAACAAACAAAAATGACGTTAAATATACGTTCTCAAACGGGGATTATGGTAGTTAACGGGTTAATGCGTTCATACTATGTTAATGCACGTTGATTCTGAAATTCCGGCTATTATAATCTCATTCCGAAATAGCTTTTGCCCCGAGAGCAATTTCGCACATTTTCCGAGATACATACGTATACATGTTTTCACAAGACACGCCGCGTGCCATACCATTCGTTTGTAGACTTGCTCATCGTGTACGATCTCGCGTGAAAGATCGCATGTTTTTGTCGATGGGAACATCCCGATAACATGAAGGTCTATTCGTGAGAAACGCGAACAGGGAAAGATATTAGGCGCGCCTCCCGGAGGATTCGAAACAAGATTCAATTTCGCGATCGATCTTTTTTCGCTACGCGATATCTGTATACGCCGTTGAGATTCGGATCGTCGAGAGACAGGGATTCTGAATTATTTCACGTTGCGGCGACGGAAGTTTCCGAGGTGTTGCATTCGCGACTCGCGACGCCCGAAAGTCTTTCCGAAGTTTGATTAAAACCGGAACGAGTCTGGATGCATGTCCGCGAAACCTTTTTTCCCCGTTCCAGACTTTTCAGGTTCCCGCGTGAATTTCGGCCTGTGGGTCACATTCCCCTTGAATAGATAGGACAGTGGTTAAAGTTAGAATTCTCCCTTTGTTCTCGATCTCGCTTAATGGACCGTCCCTTTTCTTTGTTCCTTCTCGGCGATTTTATGTTTTCTTTCCGTGAAAGGAATTTTCTAGAGGTAGTTGAATGTACCATAATAATAGTGATTGAATCGAATTGATATGATCGATATCGAACGGTAACTTACGATGTTGCGAAAGGTTTGTTTGAAAAACGTTTTACATTTGGTAGACTTCTTACTCTATTTACTTGCAATAAGATTGAAAACGACAAGAAATTTTTCAATACCTAACTTATTGTCTTTTGGCCAGAAATAAACACAGACATACGGTGGGTGATGTGTATGTGCGGTCAAAATGGAATTAGTTGAGTGTACCTACTCATGTCTTAATACAGTAATGACTTGCTTAACGTCATATATAAATATCAAAGTTTTATATCAAAATGGTTGAATATTATTAATAAATTATACTAACATGATAACTAAAAAAATTTCGATCTTTGACGAGTTGAAAGTATCACGCGGTGATCGTTGAATCAAGAATGTGCAACGTCAGGAACGCTGGAAATAATTACCGTGACCTGGGAAGCGTGGTAACCGGATGAATTATGTCAGAGGGTCGAGGTGGCGTTATCCGGCGTG